CTGAGTCATAATTATGAGACGGTAAGCACAGTTGTGAGAAACTAAGTCAGAATTCTGAGATAGTAAGTTATAATAGTGAAATACTCATAATTATGAGATAGCCATAATAGTGAAGTACTAAATTAATAACTGTGAGATTGTAAGTTGTAATAGTGAAATATTAAGTCATAATAGCAAGATACAAAGTTCATAATTATGAGATAATAAGTCATAACAGTTAAGTAACAACTATGAGATAGTGAATCATAATAGTGAGGTGCTAAGTCAGAATCATAAGCACGTAAATCATAGTGGCAGTATATGGCAGTGTATTATGGCAGTATATTATGGCAGTACATAAAACTTCCAAGACATTATTTTATTATTGTGCCTTACTATCTCATAACATTTTAATATTTCATTATTACTAGATACCATCTCACAATTATGACAGTATATAAAAATCATCATTAAATTGTATACTTATGTGATAGTATTTCATTATTATGAGATAATTAAGATAGCACCTCATTATTTATGAAATCTCATTATTTATGATTATGTGGAGATTAGTATCTCATAAGTATGCTTTAAGTATGAGGTATCTCATTATTATGAGATATCTTAAGCTGAAATGGATTAGTCCTTTTTTTTACAAGTGGCAGAAATAGGACATAACATTGGAGAGTTTTGGTTTTAGTGCTATAGACAGATAACAACTGGGTGCTTCAGACTGCTTTATGTAAAATCAGGTTTCTGTCTAGACAATGTTTACAGTTCCCTTTTTAAGAGAAGAAAACAGAACAAAACAGTCTAATCAAAACAAGCTGTGCGAGATTTGTAAGACACTTTTTAACACAGAGTACCAGAACTCAGGAAGCATTGTTTTCTTCACTTTATTAATGGAAGCTTAATATTATCAAATATCATGATACTTTAATATATTTTGAAAGTATTGTGATATCGAATTTTATCAATACTGTCCAGAATTAGCACATAGGTTGTAAAGCTGTTGCCTAGTGTCAGAATGCATTGACTCCTCTCTGGCAGAAGATGGAAGGACAGTTCACAGGTTTTTGTTGGTTGTAGCTGATGAACACTGAAGAACTGGGCTGGATTTTGGTTGGTGAAACTTGGAGATTGTGAGTGTTTGATGTTGCTGTTTTAAGGTGACCCAATGCACACAGCACATGCTCCTACATGCAGGTATGAACACACACACACACACAAACACACACACACACAAACATTCTTGTGAACATGCACAATGGCTTCAATATGCACTTAAGAGGTCACATGACACAAGTGTTTTCATAACTCTCGTTCCTCTGATCCTTTTTCAAGCTCCATGTGTAGTGTTTACTCCAGCACCTTTGGAACTGTGCTGTAATTGCCTCAAATGTGTGAAAAGTCTATATTTAAAACACATTTCAAAAAGCTGTTGATTGAAAGCATAGCTATTTCCCATTGGCCTAATCCTTTTTGGAAAGCAGGACTTAACAAAACAAGCACTTGAACAAATAAATTAAGGGCTCAAACTTTTTTTAGTGTGATGCTCTTTTTGTCGATAGTAAGTGCCTCTGTGGATATGGTTTGGGTGACTATTGACTTCCAGTGCTTGTGAACAGTGTTAGCCTAGCCGTTCCAGTTCTAAACTAAAAAAAGCAAAATTTGGAGACCAAGTATGTCTTGGCTGATTGACTGCATTTGGGGTATGTGGAAAATCAAGTAAATTTGCCAAACTATTTCTTTAATCAAGTGCCCAAGCTTTTGATATTACAATAAACACTCACTGACTGAGTTTTATGTACACTTCCATACAAGGTAAGGTGTATAAATGCACAAATTCACAAATAAATTCATATAACACAACCTACACTGCTGTTCAAAAGATTGGAATCACTTGTTATATTAAATATTTGTGTTATTTTATATACAATAATAACTTATATGTACACCGATCAACCATGACATAAACCACCTTTTTCTACGCTCATCGTCCATTTTATCAGCTCCACTTACCACATAGGAGCACTTTGTAGTTCTACAATTACAGACTGTAGTCCATCTGTTTCTCTGCATACTTTGTTAGCCCCCTTTCACCCTGTTCTTCAATGGTCAGGACCCCCACAGGATCACCACAGAGCAGGTATTATTTGGGTGGTGAATAATTCACAGCACTGCAGTGACACTGATGTAGTGCTGTGTAAGTGTGTTGTGCTGGTACGAGTAGATCAGACACAGCAGTGCTGCTGGAGTTTCTAAACACTGTGTTCACTTCCTGTCCACTCTATTAGACACTCCTACCTTGTTGGTCCACCTTGTAGATGTGAAATCAGAGACAACAGCTCATCTGTTGCTGCACAGTTTGTGTTACTCACCCTCTAGTCCTTCATCAGTGGTCACAGGACGCTGCCCAGACGATGCTATCGGCTGTTTCTGATCCACTCATGCCAGCCCAACACATACTAACACACCACCACCATGTCAGTGTTACTGCAGTGCTGAGAATGATTTACCACCCAAATAATACCTGCTCTGTGGGGGTCTTGTAGGGGTCCTGATCATTGAAGAACAGCGTGAAAGGGGGCTAACAAAGTATGCAGTGAAACAGATACAGTCTGTAATTGTAGAACTACAAAGTGGACCTAATAGCAAATGGAGCTGATAAAATGGACAATGAGTGTATAAACAAGGAGGTGGTTTATATATATGTATAGTTATACCTACCATTCAATGGTTACAGTCAGACCAGGTCACATGACCTGTGTCAAAGAGAGCACGCTTGTTGACTCTGACTGATGGGCTCTGTGAATGGAGCTCAGTGCCATTGTGGGTGAACATCACACGGAAACCTGAACTTAAAGCTCACATTAGTCACTTCCTCCCGGAGGAAAATAAAGGATGCCTCCCACAAGGAGAAAGAAAGACAAGAAACCACCTCCACATCCGCACGGCAAAAAGAAAGAAAGCAGACAGTTAACAGGCACACTGCAAAGCCAGCAGCACAAAGACTGAGTTTACTCAGATATGACCAAAAGAGACATTCAAACATGATGGTCAGCGGCGTGGACTCAAACATTGACAGGGGCGCGAAAACTGATAGCCGACATAATTCACAAGTTGTTGTTTCTTTAATTAAATAAAAAAGTCATTCAGAAGTAAATGCAGACATTAAACTACAGGCCAAAAACCTTCAACTACATCAAGCTTCCACCAGAACAGGAAGTTTGTTAGGTGCTGATCATTTCTTGGTCTAAAATAAAACTTTAAAGCTTGAAACTCACAGAGGAGCAGGGTAAGCAGTCCAGGTGCTCAACCAACACAACCGAATAAAATTTAAACACTATTTAAAAAGATGGTTCTTCGAGGGATCTTTAGTAAAGGGAATGGTCCTATTTAGAACCATGAGTTCTATATAGAACCATTTTATGCTTTAATGGTTCTTTGCATGGTGAAATGGTTCTTCAGATTGATAGAGAATGTACTGTACATAGTTCTATATAGCACCAAAAAGGGTTCTTCTGTTGTTACAAGCTTGACATCATGACAACAGAAGAACACTTTTTGGTGTTGCATACAACCATTTTGAAAAAGGCTCCATGTAGAACCATATAGGCCACAACACATTCTCCATCAATCTAAAGAACCATTTCACCATGCAAAGAACCATTTAAGCAGGCAAATTGTTCTTTGACTATTCATGGTTCTACATTAAGCCATTGTCATTACTAAAGAACCTTGAACAACCATGTTTTTTAAGAGTGTAAGCTACAAAATTGAATTAGGAAGTCAATGTTAGCTTACATAGCTAAGATTACTTTTTGATTTACTTTTTTATTTTTAGATTAAGCACCTTCCTCACAGATATACTTAAGCAAAAGTCTAATTTGGAAATACTCAGCAAAGTGCGTGTAACCTAATAAAAGTACTACCCACCCCTGCAAAGTAAAAGGAAAACGCACTGTTCGAAGGAACACATGGAAGTGGAGCTGGCCTGTAGTCTCTCCTTTGGTGGCCGTTTGTTTTGAAGACACGCAGACACAGTATTACACAGCAGGGAGCTTCATACATTGGCAAATGCGCAGTGACATTTCAATAGGCCACGCAGTTCACAAAGTGAACAGACACCAAAGGCTCTTTGAGACTACATTACTGACTCTCCGTGCAGGAGAAATTCTTTTCACCAGACCCTTCCCCCCTTCGGTGGCTTTTTGTCTCCGTTGTCGTTGGTCCCCCAAATGCTAAGTGAAGAATCTGGGGAATTTTCAGACACTCTCTTGTGCCTTGTTTTAACAGTTTCATCCGGGCATTTGCTCTCTCATTCAAAATATTTGATAGCTGTCATTCAAAACAGAGCTTTGGGGTAAAAGCTAATATAGTACAACTGTAAATTACTACAACAGAACATTGTTAGTAACGCTTACTGTTACAATATGATTAGCTATATGTCCTGTAAAAGCCACACTTATTGCGCAGAACAAAGTGCAGAAAAGTTCCCCTTACAAAAAGGTCATGAAATGCTTTACAGAAAACCTCTGAATTTAGAAACTGCCCAAAATACAGGATTTTTGAAGCAGAGAAGAGCTAAACAATTAAGCAGCTCTGTGGTCGTTAATTGTATAGGCTAATATGTCAGTAGACTATCTGGTGACTTTGAATGTGAAATTAGTCTGTTTTAAGCTTCTCTGACGCTTTTTGTCATTGTGTGGTTTTACAGACTAACGTTGGTATTGTTTATTAATTTATCTGCAAACTCATGGCATGTTTTTGTCGTTTTTTGCCCGTTAACGGTCGATCGGGAGCTGTTGAGGCGTTGTTTTGTTCCACACCCGTTTTTCGACAAAGCCCGCCCCCTCTGCGCTGTGATTGGCTAGCAGCGTCTCGTGCCCTGTCCTGGGATTCGGTACTTTACTTCAGAGCGTGAACTAGTAACCAATGGCAACGCAAGAGGGGTCCTGTCGGAATACGGGTGTCAAAAATAACGCCTGAAGGTGGCTGTATGGTTAGACAGGGAGACTTTTACTGGGACACAACGGTGAACACCTGCCACGGCTTAAAGCCTGGAGTCTGCGGCACACAGAGTGAAGGCTGGCGTGACAAGAGGACTTTCTCCCCCTCCCTTTTGAGCAGTGCGCTTTTGTGAGCGTTCTCACGAGAGCAGCCAAACACCTTTTGACATTTGTTGCCTTTATCTCCACAACTTCCCAGATAAGGGCAGACAATCAGACAACTGCCAAGGGAGTGCATAAACTGCATGTTTTTTGCCTTTATCGCAAAAAGCGAGACTTCTTGGTCGCGCCAAGAGGATTCCACTGAAAAACACCACCCAACATTTCAGCGATTTGAGAGTTTGTTCCACAGAGCATTAGCTGAAACGCCGAGAGAGTTTAGAGGAATGCAGCGATAACATCTTACCTGCGCCTCAAAGTCACTGTGGACTCTGGTTTTGTCCCCGGCTCTCAGAGAGGATAGAAAGAAACAAAAAAGGTAACTAAACTACATATTTTCTTTATGTTTACTCCACTTTGGCTGTTTTTACTTATTTACTCATTGTTAGCTGCTTTGTTTCCCTAAAGTTTGTTGAGGTAGCTTGTGTGAGGTAAAGCTGTAAATATAACTGTAGCATTGATGTGGAAGGATTTAGCAGTTCAGCAGGCCTGTACAGAGTGTGAACTGAATCATACAGTTCAGATAGTGAATATAAGTTACAGTGTCAATGTGTCTCTCTGTGAAATCAGTGACAGTGTTTCAGTTTTGCTCAAAAATGAAGTTCAAGAGTGTGATTTCTTCATTTAATACAGTGATACAATCTCAGGTTTGAGAGAGAAAAGGAAGGACCCATTTGTGATAAATGCCCCATGTGGGGAGAGAGGTAATGGACGTCATAGATTCAGCTTTTAGTATTCATAATTCATATTCCGTCCATTCCAGCAGAGTGCTGTTCATCCATAATGCATGCATACATGAAAATATAACAGTTTATACCTGCCAATTCCCACTTAAGTGTTAAAGCAGCAAACAGGCCACTTAACAATTTCATCACTTCAGAGATACCTGGAACATATTAGTATAAAACCAGAGCACACAAAGACGTCCATAAGTATCGGAATCAATAGAAAGTATATGTGTGTGTGTGTGAGAGAGAGATTTCACATACACAAGTTAATCTTGGTTGCGATAACTGTGTTTTACTACTTATGAGACAAATCTCTGATTATTCCAAATTCCCCTTATCTGTGCCTGTATAATGTGTGTATTTCTGAGTCTGTAGTCTCTGATCTGATGTTTATCTCCCTTTGACTGATTTCACCAAGTTGTTTGGTGTTGAGTTCAATAGAAAATTCATTATATTGAACCTTGCAACAGAAAGCAGTAACACTGGTGTAAACTACTAATGCTAATCTATGCAAACATAGTTGTATGGTCGATTTCCCGGGCAAAGCTTAAGCCTAGTCCTGGACTACACTGCATTCTGAATGGAGATTCTCCACTGAAAGGGAAAGATACAGTCCTATGCTGAAGTCAGAGAGCACCCTTTCATTTATTTAACGTCTAGTCAACATGGCCTTTAAGTACAAGTTATGAATTTTCAACGTAAAGAAAATAGAAAAGATATATTCAACAGAAAATTACACAGAAGCCTCAACAACTAAATATGTTATCAAATATTTTAGTATATGTTGTGTCCACCCTTTACCTTTATTAAAGCTTCCATTCTTTTCAGGAGACTTTCTCTCCAAAGAAATTTGCAAGGGTATTTTTCTACACCTCTAAAGTTCAGTCTTAGAGGTTGGTTGCATTTTCTGCTTCTCACAGTCCAAGTAATCCCAAACACGTTCAGTGATGTTGGATTCTGAGGTGGTCAGTTCATTGTTCGGAGAATACCAGCAGCTTCTTTAAGTGATTTCCTTTTTTCAGTAAGGGCCTCTTGGCAGCTACACATCCTTTCAGACTCATAACATTAAATTGTCTTCTGGATGGACAGAAACACCTGTGGAAGCTTTAAGTACTTTTTATCTGATGGTGACAGTGTATGGTCTACCAGGACTTGCACACTTTATGGCAAACTGACCCATACAGTTTCTAGTGAGCACAAATCAAGCAATTCAGTCTTACTACCTGTAATGTCTGGCACTCACTACTTGTTGTAGGCACCTTCAGACAACTTCACCTCTCCCTGTGTGTCCTGAAAAACTCTCTTTGAATTCCCTCTGGGTATGAAGCTTTTTTGAAGAAAAGTAGGACACGCTTTCTTATCTTCATTTTCATTCACATCAAAAGGAAATTGGCTCCAAACCTTTTGATTCATCTGCTTGTGTGTAAAGCGGGGTGGGGGGGTGGAGAGAGAAATCTTGGCTAATTAGGTGGGGATTGGGACTTTCACCTCAGCACCTCAGCAGGTGGAAACATGACCCTCATTGACCTCCTTTTCTTAGCCTGAGGCTTGTGTTTCCACAGGGATATGCCAGTGAGCGTGTACCCTGTGTGTGTGAATGTGTTTATGTGACTGAACGGCTGAACTTCAGACTGTCAGAGTTAGGATCTGATCAATATACAAATTTTCACTAATTATAATGAACTAGAAATAGTATCAGCCAATATAATATCCAAAACTGGCAAAAATGAGACTGAAATAGTTCTAGTTCTATCTGCATAAGGCTGTAGAGAAGTCAGATCACACACTTAATTTAATTCGTTTCCAGTTATAATGGCCATTAAATACAAATAATTCATTCTTTCGGAGATATGTCTGAGGAGATTAGATATATAAGGTAGGGGAAAATTATTAAAAGATGAGAAAACTGTCACCATCAGATAAACAGCTTAAAGCGTTCATCTTCGAGGCAGAGGAGAAAATGAAGCCCCTCTTCAGATCTGAAAAAAAATCCAATGTTTTATGTCCATCCTTCCACTGTGAGAAGACAGCTCAACACTATGAGTCTGAAAGGATGTGTAGCTGTCAAGTTGTCACTGAAAAAAGGAAACAGACAAAAAACTAAACAAAGAAGTAGCTGGTGTTCTCAGAACAATGGACTGACCACCCCGGAGACATCAATGAACCCTGGACATTAATGAAAGTATTTGGGTTTACTTGGATTGTGGGAAGCAGGAAATGCAACCAATGTCTAAGACTGAACTTTGGAAGTGTGGAAAAATATTCCTGCAGATTTCTTTGAAAAACTGAAAGCAAGTCTCCTGAAAAGAATGGACACCATAATAAAGGTGAATTTGGCTGAAAATTAAATAAATGAAAGGTGTTTTCTGACTTTTGCACAGTACCATATATACAGTATAATATAATATAGTACACTCTCAGAAATAAAGGTATGAAACTGTCACTGCGGTACCCCTCTGTCACTGGGGTGGTACCTCAAGGGTACATCTTAGTACCTTTAGTCAGGGAACATACTTGTACTATAATCCACTGAAATTATGATTGTAATGTTGTGTGTTGAAATTATCTTGTACTTTTTACCTGGGAAGAAAGGTACACAATTGGACCTTAAAACCACTGTTGTACCTTTAAGGGTACATTTACATCGTTTGTATCTTGATGAATAAAAAATCTACCTGCACAGAACCTTTATTTCTAACAGTGTGTTGAACTCAAGGTATCTATATCAAAAACTTTTCAATGTAATCCAGTCCTAAATGACTGTATGATTTATCAGCCAAACAATATCAGTCTGGCCCTAGTGTGAGCATGTGTGTTTAGAAGTTTTGCATGTGTGTCTGCCCCACCCTCCTATAGATCAGTGCCAGAGAAAACATGTAAAAACACCTGAGCGTGCGACCTGTTCTTCTGAACATCCGAGTGAGAAGCAGCCAAGGACAAATCCGATCATGCAGAAGGAGTCTGATCTGCAGCCAGTGCAGCGCTCAGGAAGCAGAGCAGTTTACATAGACAGAAAGAGGAAAGGAGGGCTGAGGAGATGAAACAAAAAATAAAGAGAGGAAAGATAGAAATAGGCAGTGAGAAAGGTCTGTTGCGTTTTCAAGCCCTTGGGGAGTGAATCATTTACCCTAAACGCTTTCAGTCTTTCTTAACATGGAATTTCCCTCTAGAGGTCCATCCTGGTGCACTCGCACAACATCTTTGCTGTTTTTACTAGTCGTCCATGGCAACTACTGATCAAGTGCGATTTAAATCTTTCTCAGGACAGTGATAGCCATCTCTGAGTGAGTGTACCTCACAACTTCACTCCTCTCCACTATCTTAACTCCTCTTCTCTTTCATCACACCATCGCACGCACGCTTACTTGCACACTCTTACTTCATCCATCTCTCCTTCATCGTCCCACAGTTTGGACACGTAGTGCATTCCGGGACAAGCCTCTAGATGCGCAGAGAGTGTGAACTGAAGGCAGCTGCCAGGGCTCGTGGTGGACCTGTGCAGCTGGAAGAGGATTAAAGGAATCAAACCCCTTCTTTAGTGGCCCACTGTTTGGCCATACATGGAGAGATTTATATACAGGAGACAGAGTTTCCATTGTCGACTCCAAACTTTGTTTATTAGCTGAGCTGTCATGTTGGTAATACATCGTGATATGTTTATATGTGTGTATACAGTACTGTGCAGAAGTCGTGGGCCATCTGAGAAAATGATATTTAAAGCTGTTTTCCTGGGCAGTAAACATTTATTTGTTTAGAAAAACATTATTATTAAAACAAAAACAAATAAACAATCGGTTGTGATTCGTGTCTGCCTGTAAGCTTAAGCATTTCCAAACTTCTCCTCAAGAAAGCCCAGTATTTACAGTTACTATCCAATATGTAGTCCAGTTAATCAGTCCTTCATTAAATTAAATCAGGTGTGCAGATGATCCATACAATGGCTGGAGTGCAGCAAGAAGTCAGGAAATACACACATAACTCTTTCAGTATTATTCAGTAACTACTGTGAAAGTATGTAAGTTAGGTACTTCAGAGAGAGAGAGGAATTGAACTATGGACTCACATATGACCGTTAAGAGTTTATGGGATTAAAAATGTACTCCACTTGGTAACAGCACTTTAAAGGGAAATTCCACTGATTTCAAAACTTCTGCATAAGTCAATGGTTAATATGTAAACAAAGTCATTCAGGCTAGATGTAAAATGCTCTATGCTTCTAGAGAAACGTACATAATCAGAAATGTTCACAGTAGTGGTGATAGAAACCAGACGTCTGAAGAGTTCAATGCCTCTAAACACTTACTCACACAACGTTATTACATGAAATGGTCATGAATACACTGAATGTGGCATTGTTTACAATAGTTTTGAGATGTAATTTTAGCGTAAAAAGTATTTGTGAAAGCCATTTGCTTATCAACATAACATATATAAACTCAGAAGACACGTCTAGGTTCACTGGTGGATAGTATATAAAATGGCTATATTTGCGTAGACATTGTAACCCCTGGTTCCTATCTCCACTACTGTAAAGTCAGTAAGTTTCTCAACAAGCACCATTTCAAATCAAACCACTCTGAATGACTTTGTTTACACCTCAATGACTGAATTCAGCAGAAATTTAAAACAAAAAGGTGGAGTTCTCCTTTAAGTCGTTTTATTCTTGGACTAAACAACATAACAGTTAAACCTCACAAACGCTCAGCCTTCTATCCTTTTCCCTTTTTTTTCAGTCTTGTTAGCTACGGAAGCAAAGCATGAAACAAAGGCCAAACTCTAGTGTTTGTTATGACAGTGAAGCATTGTTTAAATTATGTTCCCGACATCTGCTACTGCTCACTGCTGCCAGTTAGAATAATCTGTCACTTATTTTATAAGGTGAAAAGAAGGGTAAAAATCTGCATCCTGCTGTGGCTGCTGTGCTGACATCATGCCTGTGCCTCACTGACGATCCAGTGATGTCATCAGCCGGTGGCCTGGATCAGTAACTAATGGAAACAGATCTAAAATGGGCTGCAGGCGCGCCAGCTTTGCAGGCCTGGGGGAGATCCTCTGCTAAAAGTTATAAAGTGCCACAATGTGACAGGGCTTTGCAGCAGCTTAGCGCGCTTTGGCAGTGTTGGTTTTTCCGAGTTGCACGCCATTTTAAGCCATTTTTCACCGGGGTGCGGCTTTTGACATGCCACTGTTACACGCTGACCCCTTTTAGACTGATGCACACAGTGTTCGTGTACAGTGTAGCACAGCAATTCCAAACGTGAGGGTCCTCATACTTCAGGGAGTCACATGTACAGGGGTTTTTGCATGTGCATTAAAAAAGTACTACCTGATAGTTAACAAATCTAAAGCTCAATCCTTATTAGACTTAAATTAACAAAGAAAATACATAATGGAATTTTGGAGATTTCTCTTATATCACAACAACTATACATCATTGCGTAGCAGGCACCTCAGCTAGTTTCCCATCTGCCTGCGTCAATATGCTTGTGATCAAAAGAGATGAGAAAGTTAGCTAGCAAGAAAAGGTATATCAAATTTTAGGGTAAAATAGTGAAAAATATGGGTGAATTCTCTGACAAAAAAAAAAGGGTAAAAGCCCAAATTTGCCCCAGTTTCAGGCTCAGGTTACTGAAAAATTAACCTATTTGCTGAGTCTGACTGGTTTATTTACTCACAGTATCACTAATTGTCTTTTGTTTGGAAGAAAATCATTGTAATAAGGACAGTAAGATCAATATCCAGCTTATTATTATGTTATTAAATGTTTAATAGAATCCAGTTTAATATTAATTGAATAAACAAATTGAGGATCTATGCTAGTTTGATGAGGGGTACTTGAGCCATGTTAAAAGGCCTGTGAGGGTACATAAGAGAATGTTGTACAAAAAAGGTGGGGAACAACTGTATTAGAGTATCATCATGCTAATGTGACCTCAGGAAATCAGGTGATGGTGCAAGAGGCAACATGACTGCTCATAACTGCTCTCTCTACAAATGATTGCTACACCTATTGTGTGGACAAAACATGGCTCTGGGGAGAAACATACAGTACAGCAGTGTGAAGTTGCACTGACTCATCATGTCCAGCCTTTTCCTTAGTCCTTTTTTCAGGCTGCCCTTCTGAATCTTCTTCCTTTTATTTTTCAGCAGTTATTTTTGACTCCTCATGTCCTTTGTCGGTCCACGGTACGTTGTCCAGCATGTTCCGGTCTGTGGCCGAGTGATATATTTACCCTGGCTGTCTCTTTCTTTCGTTTAGGTGTCTATAGGCAGTCTGTGGGCACTATGGGAACTAAACTCCTCCTGTTACTGCTGCTGGCACAGTGTGTGTGTGGAGTAAACTGCATCCTGCGCTCAGCCCCCAGAGTGACTCTAGCGTTTAAAGGTGGGCACACACATACATGAACCATTAGCCCTTAAATGCATAGGCACGTACAGTGTGTCTTGCACAGATTTATTGACAAACTGCAATGATAGTGTGACAAAACTGGTAAAAAAATTAGAACAATAATATTTTGGGTATTTTAGTTGTCACATAGGGAAAAGTAAATGGACGAGGTGGGGGCTGGGGGGTGAGGTCATGGGTCGCTAACAAGCCAAGGTACTTAAGGGGTTGATTTTACTGGGTGGTCAAAAATAATCAGTGCAGTTTAATATCACAATATTTTAGGTTAGAAAATAGTATCGAGACATATAGGCCCAATGTGTATTAATGTGTATTAGACTAATGGATTTTCAAAATGCATTTCTGTCTTAATTCTGTCTAAAACATGGTACTCTTTATTTCTGGTAAGGCTTTTAGCAGTGAGGTTACTGCAAGCCGTTAGATAACGTAGTGGAGTACATGCTTTTCCTGCTTGCTGGAGAATGGGATTCAATCTAATTGTTCAGCCAAAGATTAAAAACACTGCCATGATATAACAGTTAGATTCCAGTTAGAGTCTCCTACTTTTATATTCAACTGCAATTGTAAGTTGCTCTGGATAAAGTAATTTGTTAAATATATAAGCATAAATACAAATAAAAGTATCTGCTAAATATGTAAATGTAAGGATGAGAGTCTTTGAGCGTTGATTCGTTGACTGTGGTCAGGCAGTCGGTAGCCTAGTGGTAGGAGTGGTGAACTGGCAACCTTCTGGTGCGGGTTTGCATCCCAGGATGGACTGGGTGAACCTGGTTCTCAGTATTTCTGTTTCTCTGTCTTTAATTGCTCATTCATTCATGTGACTGCATGCACGCACACAAACACATAAACACACACACACATACTGTACTATAGTTTAGTTCCTGTAAATTGCAAAACAGTTTTTACAGACAACAAAAGGTGGATGTTGCCTCCAAGGCTGGGGGGACGGATACCCACTGCGTAACACACTCCAGCAACTCCATACTACACACATTCTTCATTGTTCAAGCATTCGAGAGCTTGTAATAATATCAGCAGCTTCCTTGATTTCTGTTCTGAGATGTGATGTGAAGCATGGAAACAGTAACTTTATTGTGGTCATTTGCGTTTCCTTAACTCCACAAATACTCATTATTCTGCCATGCATAATACAGTATTAAGCACATTATGTGTGGCAGAATGAGGAGTTTTCTTAATCACTGCACCACCAGTATTGGGAGTAATGCAGCACAAAGTAGTGTGTTACAGTGCTGTGATTACTTTGTCCTGTAACAAAGTAGTGTAACAGTTTCAATCCTTGTTCACTGTTACTGGCTTAATTAAACTTGCGTTACTCATCTGTCTTTAAAAGAACATTATTAATGCATTTAAAAATACATTTTGTATATGTTATTAGCATCTGTCGTTGTATATGATTTGTGTACACATGTGCTGCCTGTGACAGCAGATGTATGATATGGATTGTGAATATGAGCAGTGCAACATCAGGAAAAAACTTTCCACTGCTGTAAACTCCATGAGTCATCTAGTCATGCTAGTATGAAACTGATGGATGATTATGGACATAGGATATAGCTGAAGAAAAGAGAGACCCATCCTCACCTAAATAGGTCAGATTTATGTTCAGAAACTCTGCAGACTTTGCATTTTATTATAATGAAGCTTTTAATGAAGCTGTTTTACCTGGCTAGTTTCTGGGTCTTGTAGCATCAGCTGTTCATTTTAATCAAGCAAAACTGTCTCGTCCTGAGCAAAGACACGGATATCAACATGCCTTTTAAAAGAAGTTTACTGTGATTGGCTATTTCTTTCTATATAAAGTACCTTCTGCTACAGATTTGTATGGGTTTTAAAGAGTAACATAGAGGTAAAATAATGAGTAATGATTCAACTTTTTCTGGGAAATAATGAGTAAAGTAATCCCATAAAAGTCACTATTTTCAGCAACTACCCCACTGTGCCATACAGAAGGCATTGTGTCCTGCACCCTAAACGTTCCCCTAGTTCTCTTAATGTGGGCTAGCTATAGTTGTATAAGGAGTAACTGAAATGGCTCTGTTCTGTTTTGTGAAAAAGAGTTTTAGGGATTCTCCCAGAAAACTCTTTTCTAATTCTCATGTGTGAACGAAGCTTTGATCAAAGTAATTCCAAACAATTACAGTTATTATACTAACTGTCAGCCTCCGTCATGCATGCACACACATGCACACACTATGCAAGGGCTTATGATTACAATACAAAATAGACTAAAAGATGAGTCCTTTAAACTCATGCTTGTGTGTAGATAGGAATTAAGTGAATGAGTCATAGAAGTAAAATCTTACTCTTTTTGGTTTTGACACCTCAAACTGTGCTTCACATAACTGTGGCAAGAGAAATGAATGCTTTCCTACTGCGTCAGAGCTTCAGAATTATACCACAGATGCTAAAACAGTTGCACCTATTTGGTGTGATTACAGCTCTGAGTCATGTGTTGCTGTAAATGAGAAAGTAGACTTACCCCAAACAAACCAATGTATTTCACAAAGCAATATCTGCTGCAGTTTTGGTCAACAAATAAAAATGTGTTTCGTTCTGTTATCAATCACTTTAAACTTAATTTTACTTGAAAATCATTTGCATTAAGGACTGTGATTTCAGCTCCAATTTCTCACTGAGATTTGTTGACAACTGATTAAAAACCTCTAATATTGTGCCACATGCTGGTGAAAACCAGGGTAATATCTTGAGTCATCTTCTTTTTTGATATATACAGTCCTGTGCAAAAGTCAGAGACCACCTTTCCTTCACTTAATTTCCAGGTAAAGCAGTACAAGTAATTCATTTTTCAGCCTAAGTAAAAAAAGCAGAAAGCATGCATTACACTGGTTCTTCAGATTTATGGTGAATGTGTGGTATATGGTTCTACATAGAACCTTATTGAAAATGGTTGTATATAGCACCAGAAAGGGTTCTGCTGTTGTTATGACATCAAGCTTGTAACAATAGCAGAACCCCTCAGCCTGATGGCGAATGTGTTGTATATTGTTCTATATAGAACCTTTTTAAAAAATGGTTGTACATAGCACCAGAAAGGGTTCTGCTATTTTTATGATGTCTAGCTTCTAACAATAGAAGAACCCTTTTTGGTGCTATATACAACCATTTTCAAAAAGGTTCTATATAGAACCAAATATAACACATTCGCCATCAATCTGAAGAACCGTTTCACCATGCAAAGAACAATTTAAGCACAAAATGATTCTGTATAACCTATATTTTACTAAAGAAACCTTGAAGAACCATTTTTGGTGTGTAGCTTCCATTGTTTTCAAGAGAAATCAGCAGGGGTATTTTTCACACCTCCAAAGTTCAGTTTTAGATGTTGGTTACATTTTTTGCTGTTCACAATCCAAGTAGTCCTAAACACATATGTTGAGGTCTGCACTCTGGGGTGGTCAGTCCATTGTTCCAGCTTCTTTGATTTGCAAATTTTATTCTTTTTTATATATTTCCTTTTCTCAGTAGTGGCTTCTTGACAGCGAAAAAAGTGAAAAGCGAAAAGTGTTTCCAAGTGAAAAAAGAATAGAAACAAATCTGAAGCAAGAGTGGGGCTTGATTTTCTCCTATCACTTACAGTAAAATCTCTAAAAGGACTGTTTATCAGATGGTGATAGATTCAGTGGTTTACCAGGTTGTTGTAAAAAAACTCCTGTTTTTTCACTTATTTTTCTTGACCTTCTTCCACATTAGATTGAGCTGTCTTATATCTTGTATATTCCTTAGAAATATATTCTGAAAAAGGAATAACATGTCCTTAATAGCCATTGTGACTGGAAATTAAATATAAATGAAGGGTGACTTTTGCACAGTATGATGTGATATGTGACTAATATATTTGACATATGGTTACTGGCCAAGTTTTGAACATTTTTGTTTCTCTTTCCCTGTTTTTCTTTGTGCCTGAACCTTTAAAATGCTCCCATTGTTTGTGCTTCATAGTTGTTTATGCTGTTGTTGGTGATTTTTGTCCTTATTTTAGAATGTATTTACATGTTCTCTCATTTCCCTGATCTCTAACACATGTAACACTTTGCTTTTTAATATAATGATTAATGGATTTCACTATGCTAGAGGAAGAGTATACAGTTTAAGTGTGTTGTTATTGCTGGATGAGATTAGTGTTGGGGTCTACTAAACTGCACTAAGCCTCCGGATTGTGAAATTAGCGGCTGCATTTCCAGCTCATACTTGTCTCGTGCAGTCGTGCTGTGTTTTCCAGTTCAAACAATGCACCACTACTGTGTGGCTTGCCTGAGTAAGCCAAGTTGTTTCACCACTGTCTAGCGGTCTGCTACCTCACCTGAGCCTGACAGGGCCCAACAAAATATTAATTTTTTTTTACAAACAACATTGGGCTCAGTTTTGTTATGTAATGAATGATTTTTGTTGTAGTAGATTTGGTTTAATTTGAAGGAATATGCCTGTGTAGCTTCCACTTACTCTCTTTTTGAATTTTCTCTCATATGGTCTCCCTCTCTCTTTGTCTAGTACAGGCTATATTATGTGTACAACAAAGCCGGTCTTACTAACTGTTCTCCATGGAAGAAATAAAAAAGAAATCTTGCTAAAGAGGAACTATTTAAATTGTCAAAAGAATCAGGGTCATTTTCATTGTGGTAAAATTATGACCTGGTCATTACATTACATAAAAATCACTCTGGTTATATACAGTTCAGAGCTTGAGAATGTATGTCTTTAGTGACACATTTGCTGTGAACGCAGCCACTCTGCTGCAGCTACTAGCCAGAAACTAATGTCAGTGTCAGAGTACTTACTCAGTTACTCAGTACTTACCAGTTAAGTCAGTGTCAGCTACAGCAAAAAAAAACTGACTTTAGTGTAGTGTCTGTAAGTGAATTCAACTCAAACGCTCACTAACAAAGCCATAACCTTTTCTGATAGCTTGTGTGAGCAAATTTGGGTTGGGTCTTTAAGTT